TTTGCTGATGAGGAACAAAGGCTAAGTGATTTGCCCAGGGTCACACAGCTAAGTAAACGTCCTAGTCAAGTTTTGAACTCAGCTGTTCCTGATTCTGGAATCAGGCCTCTGACTCTAGTTACTTAGCCATCAAGTGGCTCTGATGATATTGTGCCAATTGCTTCAAGTCAGAGAAGATTACAAAGTCTCTTGGAAGAATCCTCATTGTCCACACAGGAAAGATCCAATGTATGAAGCATGTCTTATTGCCCAGATTACAGTATCTAGATGGACAACTTACAGAGTTTGTCCATTAGTATATATATTTGAGACGGTGCATGTGGGCAACAAGTTGGGCATGCAGTTGGACAAGAGGAAGAGAGTGGAATGATTGCCTTTGGAAAACTTCAACTATTCTCCAGTAGCAATAAAAGCAAAGGCCCATTTAAAAAAAAATACTAATATTCGACTAGTGTTGCTTTAAGGCAGCAAGATAAAAATTAAAAATTCATATAAAAGCAATGGAAAGGCATATGCTGGATGTGTACAGACTGCAGCATATAAGCAACAAGGAACTCTCATAAAAGAATGGTATAATAGGAAATAAATATTGACTGCTCATAAGGACAAGAGATGATGGATAGGTAGCCAGAATGCCCCACTGGTACTTTTCTGATTCCCTGAGAAATGAATGAAAGGCCTCTTGCATGTTGGGTGGACCCTCTGTGTCAAATTTGTGGGAATACATGGATAAGAGACACATAGAATGAACAGATATGTGTAGATTGTGATGTGTATTACTGACAGGAACTTCCAAATCAATGAGAGTATAGATCCATATAAGTACATCAATAGACCAGCTCTGTATAAAGGGGGCTGGAGCAAGTCCTTTCCCATTAAGGGGGTTCCTCAGTGTAGGCTAGCATCAGTTCTAGGAGAGTCCAGCTTCTAAAGAGAGGAATCTTTCTAATTGCCTCTAATGAGGCAAAGGAGTTTAAACTTTATTTAGTAGTCAGTAGAGGGACGCTAAAGATTTTGGGCAGAAGAGTAACATAACCACATTTTTACACGAGCGAAATTAGTTTGGCAGTAGTGTAAAAGATGAATTGGAGAATGAAGGGTAAATAAGTAGAACTTTCTCACAATTTGTCTCATAATTGGAGTCATTAAAAGAATATACAAACATGGAGGAAGGGTTAGGAAAGTGGACATCATGTGAACCTTACTCTTATCTAAAGCAGACAAGAATTTAATATGCCCAGTGCGCATGCACTCATGCAAAAACACAAATGTTTAGTATAGAAATATATTCAGCAGTGAGCTAGAGAAAAGGAGAAGGTTGAAAGGACTTAAGAGAAGGTGGAGCAAGGGAGGGAATACTTACAAGCAAAACAAATCAGCTTTGAAAGGATAGGACTAGGAGAGCTTAAAGAAAAAAAGTATAAGAACCAGTGATTGGAGTCTAGAAAAGGGGAAGAAAGGATTACCAGTGGAGTGGAAGCAGAACCCATCAGTAACATCACTCTTGTTGATCATATTCTCTTTTACTATCACCATCTTTGTAAATATTAGGATGGGAGTCAAAGAGAGGGAAAACAATACAAGAAGGCATGATGGAGGTAAATGCACAAATATTTGATAGAAATATGAACATAAATAGAATGGAAAAGAGTAACATAATGGCTTAAAAAGCAAAATCCAGCAATATATTGTTTCTAAGAAACACTATTAGTATATAGATTCACATGGAGTTAAAAATGAGAGGCCAGAACAGAATTTACTATACTTCAGTCAGTGGTAGAACTAGAATGGTTAAAAGAGAAATAAACAAGGAAATTATATTATGCTTAAAAGGCATCATATACTTAATAATATCAATACTTAATAAATATGAATCAAGTGGTAAAGCATCTAAATTAAAGGAAAAAATAATCAAATTAGAGAAATGGACTATAAAACTGTATTATTGGGAATCTCACTATACCCCTTTCAGACCTAACAAAAAGTTAAACAAGAAAGATGGACCTGATTAGAACTTTAGAATAGTTACATATGATAAAGCTGTGATGATTACTGAATGAGAATAGAAAGGAGTATATCTGTTTTTCAACTGTGCATGGCACTTTTACAAAAGTTGATCATATGGTAGGGCCAAAAAATCTCACTAAAATGCCAAAAGCAGCAATATTAAATGCATCCCCTATTCTTTACAATGCAGGTAAAACCTATGATCAGTTGAATGTAAATCCAGGTCTCTTTGACTGCAAGTCCAGCAAACTTTTCAGTGTATTACACTGCCTTTCAGAGGATTGCCAAGATCTTTTCCATCTCTCAGTACTGTTATTCAGAGGCACTTGAGTTGGCTCATCATACTTCTAACCCAACCTAATTGGATGCAGCCGAAGCATGAACTATTACATTGGTCACAGACAGTTTCAGAAATGTATCTTGCTTCTGAATTTATAGAGTAGCTTTCTATTTGCAAACAAAATATTATTAATTATTTACAGTGAAGAGGAACGAAAAGCCTTTTTACTTGTTCAATTCTGTAAATGTAGATCATCATCTCTTCTGTTACAGCTTTTGTTTCATCTTTTAAACTTTCTGGCTTTGAAAGCAGAGTGGTGGAAGGGAGAGGGAACTGGACTAGCATCCACAGACCTGGATTTTAGCTTTGGTTCTACAGCCAATCAGCTGGAAAACTTTGGGCAAACTTTTGGCTCAGTTCGCTTATCTACAAAGCGCAACAATTGAACTAAGAGAAGCAGTGTGGTAGAGTGGAAAAACCAGTATTTGGAGTCTAGGTCCAAATACAGCGCGGCTACTTACTACCTAGTTGACTTTGACCTCTCCGGCTTAAATTCCGTCCTCTGTAAAATGAGGGGATTGTAACAGATGACCTTTAAGATCCTTTGCAGCTTTCTGAATGATCCTGTGGCTAAATGATTTCAAACGTCCCTTCCATTTCGAACATTCTAGTTCCTATTTCCTCGTACTTTTCAAAAGGTTCCTTTTCATTAGGTAACTTTGGAATTTTTAGACCAGCTCTTCCTCCTGACTTTCCTTTTCTAGTAACTATACTACTGTTCTCTTTGCCACTGAGGCTGAAGATAATCATCTTTGTGTCCTTATATGCCCTCATTCACCAAATTATTAGATCCTTCTTTTGAAAAATTTCCATGCTTTCTTTTTATTTGTGCTTTCTACACCCTAGGTATAACCATAATTACCTCATGCTTGAACTTCATACTAGAATAACTTTACTGTTACTTCCTGTTTCTTCCTCCTAAACCATCCTGTACAATCTTCCCAGAATCATCTTCCTAAAACCCTGTTTTCATTATAAGATCAGAGGATTTCGAGCTGAAAGGAAACTTGAGACAGTATCTTGTCAGGCAACACTCATTTTACAGATGAAGAAACCAAGGGTCAGAGACAGTAAGTGAGTAATTTAGGTAGTAAGTGGTAGAGCTGAGATTCATATCACTTCTCTTCTCAGAAACCTTTCATGTCTCATGATTGCCTGCACAATAGAGAGAAAATTCCATAGCTTTATATTCAAGGTCCTCCATAGACCAAATCCAACCTACATTTCTATCCTTATCTTTTAGTACTCACCTATGTGACCTTTTCATCTATTCCAGACTTGTCTACTCATTGTCCTCCAAACAGGCTTGCCTCTGTACCTGTGTGTTTTTTTTAATAACTTCACAATCATCAAAGACACAAGCATTTATTTCAGTATCAGCATATGAAGAAAAACAAAAATAAAGATTGCATATGCATTTGTGAATTTCTTAGTACTTTTTAAAAAGTATATTAAATTTAATAGCATAGTAAAAAAAAATTTACCTTGTTTGTATCCCTTTCTGAAATTCTGTGTTTTCTTTCAGCCATTAAAAAAAAATCTTTCATTGATAATATTTTCTTTCTTTTCTATTTTGCATCCCTTTCACTACCCACTGAATCACCCTACCTCTCCCACCAGTAGAAGTCCTCTCTTAGCAAATGAGTATAGTCAAGCAAAACATATTACCTCTTTGGCCATACCTGAAAAATGTATGTCTCATCCAAAAAAACTTTGCGAGTCATCCATTGATGTGCATATGAAAGTAATATTCCTTGTAGGTAGGGAATCTCTCTTATCTGCTTTGTATTCCCTCCTCTCCACACAGTAGCACCCAGTATAGTGCATAAAACATGGGAAATAGAAACTGGAACTTGTATTTCAGTGATATAGAGAACTCCTGGGTAGGAAACTTCTACCAAGGTAGGTCTGCACCTTCTAAGCAACTCACAGTTTTAGTGGCCTAAAGCCCTCACTCAGGGGTTGAGTGATGTTTCAGAGTCACATAGCCAGTAAGTATCAGAGGCAGCACTTGAACTGAGGTCTTCCTGTCTTTGAGGCTAGTTCTTTAGCCACTATACCATGGTTTCTTTTTTCTTCATGATAATAGCTGCTTAATCAGTGTTTTTGGTGTATTAATACTGTCTGAAATTCTGCTCTCTGTAGTATGAATCTGAACCTCCTGCTGCTTTTAGGTCCTTTTGTCTTAGCGACTGATTTTATTCATATTGGCTGGCATCTACCAGTTATTTAATTAATAGGATTATGTAGCTAGAGTAAAGCTAGGATTGTTTAGCTCTTTAAAGTTTGCAAAGCAATATACATATATACATATACATATGTATATGTATGTCTATATGTATATATGTGTGTGTGTATATATATATACATATATATATATATATCAGATGATTCTCACAACAACCCAGTAAGCTAGATGCTACTATCCTCATTTTACAGATGAGACAACTGAGGCTGAGAGATTAAGTGTGGTCCAGAGCCACACAAATGCTAAGTGTCTGAGGCAGGATTTGGACTCGTATTTTCTAGACTTAGCTCTATCCACTGCACTGCCTTGCTGCCATCCAGGTTTCACCTGTATGTGTGGTACTTTCTGAAACTTTGTAGCTTGAGTGTTTTATTTTGTTTTGTTTTTGTCTGTTTTCATTTTTAGGTAACAAACCTGAATTTGGCAAGTGGAGTCACAAATCGAACAGGTGCTACAATTCCCCCTACCCTTCGCCCAGTACACAGTCCTGGAGGTCCAACATTGTCAGCACATTCAGACCCTCAAGTCCCTGAAAGCAGGACTAGCCCGCCAGTAAATAGGTATGCTAAATGGTGTGGGACTCAGTTTTGGGTTAGACAGGAAAAATGAAAGGCAGAGAAAGTATATAAGTATAGCTATGTATACACATATCTTTTTAAAGTTTATGATAAAGTGAATAAAATCCTTAGTGTCGATTTAATGAGCTAGATAAGTAGGAAGACGTATCATTTAAAAATAATTTTAAAGGAGAAGGAAGTGGCACCAGATATAAAGATCATGGTGAAATTTATGCTATGACATGAGTGGCTTATGGATTATCCAAAGTTACTACTGTCTCCCATATTCAAAATACCCAGGTATCAAAAATGCAAGATCTAACCTTCCTTTCATTTACCTCATATAAACACTGAAAAAGGCAGTAAATACAATGTGGCCATGAGGGTGGTCGTGTCATCCTAATAAACTTTCCTCTAGGTGTTCCGATGTATCTCTCCTATCTGTTCTCTGTCCACCACCCTGTTGACATTCTGCCTTGTTCTGAGTTTCAGAAAGGTGACCCAGGGCCTGGGCACAGTTTAGTACCTAATTATTATAATTATATTAGTTAATGTTAGACTTGCTACTTAAGTAGCTTGTTTGAGAAAATTCACTTCTGCTCAGGTTCTCCAAGGCTATGCCAACAGCACACATGCTCTCTGACAAGGGGAAAAAACTTTCAAGTATGAGTCTAAAAACAGACCCTATGTTTTTTGCCTAGCTAAATTCAGAGAAACTCATTAAAATTTTCTGCAAAGTGATGAATGTTTCCATACCAACTCTACTATTGTAGAAGGGTTGCAATCTAAATTGTTTTTTTTTTAAAGGAGGAAATGAAACTATAGATCCTTAAAATATGTAAATATCCCTTAATATATGAGATAAGTCTATTCCTAAATAGCTGGCTATAATTGCAATTCTAAATTTTTTTTTTTAAAGGATGAAATGAAACTATAGATCCTTAAAATATGTAAATATCCTTTATTATATGTCTGTTCCTAAACAGCTGGCTATAAAGAGAAATTCTGTATATAGAACTTTACTACCTTACTGTGCTTTTATCCCAGGAGGGATTCTCATTCTTTTCTAATACAACCCCAGAGGGACTGAAGGTTTTAACTTGGCCCCAAGAAAACCTTGTTTCACAGAACTGCTAGGATACTAGATCATTTCCAGAATCATTTCAAGAGATGCAATTCTGTTGGGAATTCCTAAAGATACCTGAAATTTAATAAAACACCTGAGATTTAGGTCTCCAGTTCAGTCACAGAATTAGCATGACTTCCCTGAAGTACTTAAGTGGGGATGAGTTAGGGCCTAGCCAAGACTGCTCCGGTTCTATGCCATGCAGGATCTCTATCTCAGTTCTTGTCTGTGGAGCCATTTGTCACTTGGAGAATTAACCCGGTTTATTGGCTTCCCACTTTTTACACAGTTAGAGAGGTAAGCTTGGTTAAGTTAATTAAATACTGGAGTAGAAGTCCTAAGATGTGAGTTTTATTCCTGTTTCTTACTCTGACTTACCACATGACTTTAAGCCATTCACTAAATCTGTTTTTAGACAAGCATACTTAATTTGCAAACTAGGCTATTTTAAGAAATTTCAAGATTATCTATGAAACACTTTGATCTCCCTAGAAATAAGTACTAAATAAATATAAGTTGCTATTCTTTTTTTAATTATTTCTGTTGTGACAGTGAATTCCAGTATTTATAAACCTTCACAGTTCACCAAAATAATAATCATAGTCTTCAGTGGACTGCCTTATGAATTGGAATTAAATGTTAAGAGAATCCTGTTATTGTTTATACATTTCATCTTGACATGTTGGAGGATTCAGTGACTTGGTAGCCACAGGAATGAAAACTAGTGACTCACAAAAATCCTGCATAGTGTTATTTTTTTATTTCCCTGTGGTGTTCCTATTGTTCTTAATTTTTATAGATCACACAAGTTTTTCATCAGACAACCTTGTTCTTCCCTTACTCCGCCCCTCCCCCTCACTTTGGAAATAACCTCAAGTGTGGCCCCAGGGCTTTTGTCTCCTATAGGTCAATGTGAGCTCAGCTCCTCAAATCCCTGTGTTCTTTCAGTCTGTCTGGAGTTCATGCTTTGTTGTGGGAGAGGAAGGCAGAAAGCCTATAACTTGCCCAGACAGTCTGAGGCCTGGCCATGTAGCTCCCTAGACACAGTAGAGTTGGACTTGGCCAGCCATTACTCTGTGTTTCTTTTCAGAGGGAATAAGTGAGATTAACTGTAGGCTCTTCTCCAGAAAAGAAAAGAGTTGGGGTCAAAATATTTTAGGACCCCAGTTATTAATGGCTAGAGTGTGCCTTCAAAACAAAGCAGGCTCTTATTGGGAAAATAGTGTGTCACTAGAACTTTCAGGTATGGAGTGCTTACCACCAATACCTCCCTTTTAAAAGTGACTATTATGGTTTCCAGATTCTGATGCATAAGTGACTTGGCCCCTTTCTACTCAATAAAGTGTGTGTTCAGGAGAGGGGGAGGGTGAAAGGAGAATAGAGACTTTCAAATTATTTTATCCAATAGAATTATTCTTTCTCTAGACACAATAGATAATTAGGTGCTCAGACTTTATTAATGTTGGTTTATTATTGCCAGACTTCCGGAGAACCTAACCACAACAGGAAGGGCACATTTTTCTTTTTCTAGCACTCATTGAGTTAATGGAACAGTTTTCCTCTGTGGGAGCTAAAAGGGTTACTTACTGTGAAGTCCTGGCGGCAGCAGTGGCTGCTGCTGCTTTGAATGATCTGGGAAGGACAGGGCCTCAGACAGCTTGGCAGGAACCTGAGGCCCTGTTTTGTTCCAGTCCAGCCCTTCCTTGTGGATGGAGCTGTCAGGGAATCCCACGAACGTCTGGCTTCTGCCCTTTTGTGTGTTTTTCCAGAATTTGTCACTGGAATATTTTTATCCGTCCCTGGCTTTTTAATGTGCGGAACCTGGGTATTTGTCTATTCCTTGACACTAAAGGTGGGCAGGGTTCGAAAATTGTCCTGTTTTGCATCAGCTGATCCTGCTGAACTGCTTGGTCACACTGTACAAAGGAGTGGTCCAATCATCTTTGCAGAAGAGTGATTTCTGGCATCTTTGTCAAGGGCAGCTGTGTCTGGGCCAAGCACAAATTGAACAAATGGATTGTCAGTTCCTCGTTGTTCCTGCTGGGTATGGATCAAAATGAAGTACCGCATCTGAGAATTTTGAATCATGAGTTCCTTATCATAGCTCATTGTTCTTTTAACTTTTTAAGGATCTTTTTTGGCTGTTTGTTTTCAGATACTCAGGTTTAAGCTTAGCTGATGCCCTTTCCCTAACTTCTTTAAGATTGCCTCTTTAAAATGTTGAAGATTTATACTTCGGCATTGGAATTCTTCCATGTTCAGCCAGTCATTCAAAAAGCATTTATTGAACATCTTCTAAATGCCTAACATTTTGCTAGGTGATATGATGTGTTACTGAAAAAAAAAAGACATAGTTTATAGTCTAGTTAAGAATATAAGGCAATAACTTTTTGTCACTCTCTCCATTATTGAGTTCTGCTTTCATGCCTCTGATATGTTGGACCAGGAGCAGGAGTAAACATACTCCTTGCCCCTGATATTTCTATACCACATGAAACAGATCCTTGTCACTATGATCTACTAACCTCTTGGTTATTTTTTCTTTCTCGAGTTCAGTACCTGGCTTAAAGTCTTTCTGTTTACCTCTATCCATACCCTAATATTTGGGCTCATTATATAAATTGTTGTGCCCTCAAACACCCTTCACTCTTACTTTATCAGCTTCTTCAACTACATGACCTATATCTTCGCTCTACCTCAGCCACCTATAGACATTTTCATAACCTTGATCTTATAATCATCTTCAGAATTCTGTAATTTCTCTCTCTCTCACTCACACACACACACACACACACACACACACACACACATAATAAATTTCTATCTTTCTGCCTCACTGCTTTGAAATCTATTGTTTGTATTCAGCATGACCTCCCATCTCTCCACTCTTCCCTGTTCTTCTGGTACATCACCTCCTTACTGGTCTTACTTTCTTGTACCTTAGAATTCACCATTTCAGCTATATATTTTTCACTTTTGAATTCTTTGCTTCTTTATCTTTTTGCCAGTCCTTGCCAAATCCTACTACTAGGTTCTCCCGTCATCTGTCTTTTTAGCTCATTAGTCATATGCTACAAAACACTGCTGGAAAAAATCGTGAAACCATGCCTCCTGATCTATGCAAATTAATATGATCTAATTTCATCTGGATCCCCAATAACCAAACTTTTATTTCTCTACTCTTTCCTAATTTGCTGTCATACTTTGAACAATAGTTACTCCAGCCTCCCCTCAAGGCCCTTATACTGGCCAAACTGATCTACTCTCTGTTACACCCTGAACTTGACCTGCCGTTTCCATTTCTGTACCTTTGCATAGGTTATACTCCATGTCTGAAATGCATTTCCTCCTCATCTCTCCCTCTTAAGATCCTGTTATCTCCCATTTGAAGTCTTTACTATTTTTAAGTTCTCTGCCCTTCTTGAAATTACTTTGTAATTACTTACTTTTGTATATATTTATTACCTCTAGTAAGTAGCTTAAGGTCAAGCACAGTTTTGTTTTTATCTTTGTGTCCCTAGTACCTAGCATAGTACCTTGCATGTAGTAAGTACTTAATAAATGTTTGTTGAATTGTGCGATACAGACCACTCAAGAATACAAATAATTTATAGTATGAACTAGACTTAGTTAGTCCATATTATTATTATGCAGTACAGTCAAGTTCAGAATGAATTAAAGAAGGGAGATGCATGATTCTCTAAAAGGTACACAGTGGCTTCATAATCATTATGGAAACTGAAGCCCAGATGTCAGTGACATTAAATTGGAACCTGTGGAGGAAAATGGAACTTTTACACCCTGCCTAGTAAGAATCTTGCCATTTCATTTCTTAATGTGTAACATTGACTCTGAGGAGAATGGGGATAGTATTCCC